TACAACAGCAATACTAATAGTATTTAATAATAATAACGTTCATATCAATACTTAATAATTTAACATTATTCAATATCTGTTGAAAAATTTGTTTAATTTCTGTTTTAATTATTATTGTAAATGATAGGTACGTCAAATTAAAATATATTTTTTATATTATAGATACTCACAGTAAGTAATGTAGGTATTGAAATTCTATTTTAAGCAGCAAACTGAAAATATTATTACTCGAATTTCACACTGTTCAGTGCTCGCTACAGTGCTTGATCAATAAATAATGAATACCTCCTAATGGTCATCGTTTATCGATCAATCAGTTTCCGTTACAAAATGTATGGAGCCTGCTAACCAGTCCTTGTTTCCTTAGTTACACAATACGATATTAGTCTACTACGCTCCACAGGTCAATGAATAAAATGATAGGAATGCGATATCAGAATTGATAACAGATTATTTTTTTTTTTCATCAATTTAACTATAAATATATAGCATAAATTCTTAAAACGTAATTTACTAATATTACGTAGCACTGTGGTAGTATCTACTTAAGATTGTTGATTGTTTTACGATATAATTATTTAAAACGGAGTACCAAAAACTGTTGGCAATATTGCTGTTCTGTACTCATAATAAAATATCATTCGCCGTTTTTATGACTATGATAAATGATTTGATATGCAAATAAAATCTGGATTTTTTAGAGGAAAGACAAAAGTAGGTACACACTTTATGATACAATTATTAAGTGGTCATAAAGATGCCGTCTTTTAGAATGACTCAACAGCTAGGTTAAAATTGTATTTTATGTGTAACATAGACCAACTTTAAAAAAAAAAAAAAATGTATCTTTTACAAGTATAATGCGACACAGCAATATTTCTTGATAGTATGTTAACCACATTTACCTATATTTTCTTTAATTTTCACCATGTTTATTTTCACAGTGCATAATTTTATTTCTTATAAATAAATTATAGTTATAACTTAAAATAAATTGGCATTACAAAATGTAAATAAATCAATCACTCCCGTAATGAATTTATCTTGGATGCTGTTGTTCTTAACTTTGAATAATAACTTCATGTTGTGTTTCAAAGATGTAAAGTAATAGATTTAAAAAAGGTTTTATGTTTGTTAAATAACACAAATTATTTTACATATTATATATTATTGCTGTTTGTATTAATATTTTTTGAAAAAAGCACTATTAACGAGATTGAACCTAAACCACTAGGGATTTTTATTTTAATTAAAAATAAATATATACAGTTAATCAACTAGTAGACTTGCACTATTGCAGTATACTTAGATAAAAGTAATATAATTTTAATGTTTTTACAGCTTTATTTCTAGAAAAACATTCAACTTCATGATTTAATATACAGGAACAAGACTGTACTTGAGTCTGAAAAAAATAAAAGTTTTAAATACAACAATATAATATGTAATATCAAAGCATGAACAATAATTGATCGCCTTTAACTTAATTATCAATATAAACTTGAGGGTTTTAAAAATAAAATGTTATTAGTTAGTATATTAAAAAAAATATTTATTTAATGCTGTCAGCTACTGATAATATTTGCTAATAACAAATAAACGGATTGGAATATAATACATTACTATGATTCATTAAATAGTTACAAGTATTTATTAAATTCCATAAATTATAATATGTACACAACGAGTAAAGAACGTTATTAAGTATTTATATAATTCAATATTGTAATCTTCTATCTTGTTTAGCTAAGATAACTATAACACATCAAATATTTTTAAACATTGTTTGTTAAAATAAAAACTAGTGTACACAGAAAATAATCAATTATTGCAAATAATATATCATAACAGATAAATTTAGTTATACATGAATGTCCATATAATACAAAAGATAAATCTTGTAAATACAATAACTTTAGAATCAATAAATTGTGTGCACACTAAGAATAATTTATTTTAAATCATTGAATAACAAATGACATTATATTAAGTTACTTAGATTTAAAATGAGAACAAATACTTACCAATTAACACCCGTACAAAAACTTAACGATCAATTTCACCAAAGACTACGTCAAGTGTTCCTAAAAATACAAATATTGAATTTAAATAACATACACTATTCAATACATAAAAAAAATAAATAGTTAAAAGTAGTTAAAATAAGTTAGTAATTACCAATAATAGCAACAATATCAGCAAGGAAGTGTTTTTTTCCTATTTTATCTAATGCAGCAAGATGTGCAAATCCAGGTGCTTTAATCTTACATCTATATGGTTTAGAAGTACCATCAGAGACTAAATAGACACCAAATTCACCTATAAAAGATAATTAATAATTAAGAACTATAGAAAAAAACAGAAATGTGTTTTATGTTACCCTTGGGAGCTTCAATTGCAGTATATGTAGCACCTGGAGGTACTTGATAACCTTGGGTAAACAGTTTGAAATGATGAATTAAAGCTTCCATAGAGTTCTAAAAATAACAATAAATTAAAATAGTTTTAACGTTAAGTAAATTGAATATTGATTTATTACTTTCATTTCTGATCTAGATGGTGTTGATACTTTCATATCATCAGTTTTAATTTCTCCCGCTGGCATTTGATTCAAACACTGTTCAATAATTCTAAGTGATTGCCTCATTTCTGCAACTCGACATAAATATCTGAAAATACAAACAAATACATTAAAATATATAAAATACATAGCATAACATGAAATACAATAAGTATATCTAATAATAAAAATAAATTTATATTACCATGAATAATTAAGTTCTTTATTATAACAGACGCAATAGATAATTCAATAAGTGTATAACACAGAATAATTTTTTTGATTAATTTAAAGAAATTGTATTTATGTTAATTATGAAAATTAAAAGCAAGTGGATGACTTCAAGAAATGTCAAACCAAATGAATTGATATTTTCACCAAAACATTACATTTATAATGAATTGAGGATGAAATAAGTTTATTTTTGAACACTTTTATAAAATATAATTATAGTGCCAATCACTAAATTTTTATATTTTTTTAATAATTTAATATTTTTCTTAATTTGATGACACTTATTTTAGTTCCAAAAATGCCAATCTATATACATTAAATTTTTTATCCTGAGTTGTATATAAACTTTTATAGACAATATTAAATAATACACTGAAATTATTTATGCAAATGAAGATTATGTAATTAGAAATGTAAAAAATTAAAATTTTTTAATTAAGTTCATTACCTATATGATGTAATATTTAAGGTTTACAGTTATGCATACATTTTATGTTAAGTTTACATAAATTTATTATAAACTATTGCAATCATATTTTATACACTTGTGTCCTGTGGCGGATGAGAACAAAATTAACTTAGTTTTTTATCTTTTCAAAAGACAAAGAAAATGATAAATATTAAATTCTTAACCTTTCTCATAACTAACCTGTCATAACAATCACCACGAGTACCAATGGGTATATCAAAATCAACGAGGTGATATGCATCATATGGCTGTGTTTGACGTAAATCCCATTTGATACCAGAACCACGTAACATAACACCACTAAAAAATAACATTATTTAATATTCACTAACATTTAAATTAACCAGCATGAAACACTAACCTAAAACCTAAATTTAAAGCATCTTCAGCGCTCACAACACCAATATCACGTGTCCTAGCAATCCAAATACCATTATTTGTAAGCATATCTTCGGTTTCATCAATACGTTCTCCAAACTTTGATATGAACTGATAAATATCATCCATTAATCCAAGTGGCATATCCTAAATAAATACATTTTGATGTTAATATATTTATAATGTTATGTATGATGTTTACATACCTGAGACACGCCTCCAGGACGAATATATGCAGCATGCATTCTAGCTCCAGATACTCTTTCATAGAATTCCATCATTTTTTCTCGTTCTTCAAACAACCAAAAGAATGGTGTCATAGCACCAATATCTAACGCATGTGTACCAACAGCCATAATATGATTCAACAGACGAGTAATTTCCGCAAACAATGCTTAGAAAAAATTCATTATTAATATAAAAGAATTTAAAAAAGGTTATTTATATTTTTACTTCTGATATATTTTGCCCTCAATGGTACATCGATGTTCAACAATTTTTCGACAGCCAACGAATAACACTGTTCATTACACATCATAGATACATAATCAAGACGATCAAAATATGGCAATGCTTGAGTATATGTCTTATATTCAATTAATTTTTCAGTACCACGGTGTAATAATCCAATATGAGGATCAGCTCGTATAACGACCTACAATTTGACAACCATATAATAAAATTATGATTTCTTTGTTATTTATGAGTTTTACCTCTCCTGCCAGTTCCAATACTAATCTAAGTACACCATGGGCAGCTGGATGTTGTGGTCCAAAATTGATAGTCATGTTTTTCACTTCTCGTTCAATAGGCTGAGGATTAGAATTCCATGCTTCCACTTTCCAATCACCTGCTTCTTCAGGTACATACATTACAGGTCGTTCGAATCTTTTCATTTCTTCGACACCAGGGTACCATTTTGATGCACATCTAACGTGTCTATAAGTAATAGTAGTAAGCATTATGTAGTATAAATAATATAATGTTGATCCAATATTTACTTACTGATAAATTCGGTCATTTGCGGCCAAATATTTTGATAGATGGCCTAAGTTATTTCTTTTCACTAAATTCAAAACTGAAACCATTTTTAGTATGAAAATTCCTATAAGAAAAAAATACCAAAATGGGAAACTTAGGAGAAAAGTTCCCTAGACCAGACCCTATCTCTATCGAAATTTTTTAGTAAGCGATTTAATCATTCCCTATCACTTATTTCTGTAGGTCTTCCATGGAAGAATAAACTATATTACCAGATTTTTCAAAATATTTGATATCATAAACCGGATTTATATTATTATATCAGTAAGAATGATTACTGATTAGGTTATTACTTATTGCAATAAAATTGAAGTTTATTAGAATAATAGAAATATTAGAAATAATAGTATCAAATTTAGTTTTTATATTATTTGTTATTGTTATTTTGTCACTTAAATTTTTGAGTATAAATTCTTAGTTGTTCATATTTCTCTATCGGTTTTCATGATGTTAAGTAACTTGTCATTTCCCAGTCTTATTTCAACAGTAGGAACATTATTATGTAAGTAATGGAAATTATAGTACCTATATTGTAATAAGTTAAATTAAAAATTCACTAAATTCATTTATAAATTTTAGTTAACTGTGTGGTTAAATTATTTTTTTTAGTTCGTAACAGTGTTCGACATGCGTCCAAAAAATCTGGTACAAGTACAGCTAATGTCGGTGGTCGAGTTCGTCCTAAACATAGAGGCATCAGGTACAATGATGGCCGTGAAGTACAAGCTGGTACCATGTTAGTGTTGCAGAAGGAACTGAGATTTCATCCAGGTCTTCATGTAAATGGCTACTAGTTAATTTAATTTTTGAAATACTGTATTAATAATTTATATGTAAAGGTTGGTTTTGGGCGTAACGGCACATTATTTGCTTTGGAACAAGGAAAAGTGGTTGTTTCATGCGAAAAGCTGGATCCAAATTGGAATCACACTTGGATTCAAAGATTTTATAACCATCGCAAAGGACAAACAATTTACAAAAAATTCTTTAATATTATACCAACGCCACAACATAATCGATTTAAACTTGTTGAATCTATTTAGGCTGTTGTTAAAATTAAGATCTTAGCCTATAAAATTTATTACTGTAATTAAATTGTAGACATTTTTTAAATAAATAAACATTAATTATTTAATACTTGTTTATTTTAATTTCAATTGAATTTAATCAAACTACATTATTCAAATTATAATATAATTCTCAAAATAAAAAGTATTTCAATTAAAAATATTAATGAAAACATGAGATATGTTTTAATTTTTGCTATAGTTAATATATATTTTAGTAAATACTTAAAGAAACCTTATGTAATAATGAGTAAAATCCTCTATATTTTTTAATAATTTAAATAATATAAATATTTTTATTTGTTAAATGCATACAAACATGCGTTAAATTATGATGTTGGAATAGTTAACACAAAAAATAGTTAAGTAAAAATTGGGTTCTATAGGTACCTAACATAATATACTAACATGACAATATAGTAGGTATGGTCATATCTTAAATTGGTTGCAATTTACCTATTTTAACCATTTTTTATTTAATTTGGTTTTCTGTAGTATGATTATTAATTTTTAATAAGTAATAACAAATGAGATTTTATATTTTTATAACTCAATTCATTTTATCATACACAATTTACTTAATTGTTATGTTTAATTTATCCTATACTTTGCACAAACTATGTACCAAAATATTCTTATCTACTTTTTATACTTGAAGTAATTTGAAGGCATATTGCAAATAATGATTTTACATTAAACCAGAAAATGATACAAACTAAGAGAAAACGATCTTTAAATACTAAAAAGGTAGGTATTGTCCATGTTTTATGCTAAATTGTGCCACATAATTAATGCCACATATATGTGACAACCAATTAATAACTGTATAATTTGATACTATTTTAGATTGGTACTTATCTTAAGTACCTACATAAACATTTATGCATTATTAAATAAAAATAGTTTTACGATGGAATAATTAATATTAAAAATAATTTAATTTCAAAAATATAGTTTTTTCTTACTTAAAAATAATTTAACTTTTTGGGAATGAAATAGTTTTTAAAATACTAATATAAAATTCAAGAATGTGGTATATTAACACACGACAAGTGTACTTAACTAATGATTCACAAGATGGCCAAACTGTGTTGAGTGTGATGAGTATTAATTATTTTAATGATAAAACGGTGAGCAATATCAAACAAGATGATTGTTAATTTATATACTAAAATATCGTATTACCACTTTAACGTCTTTAACCCTAAATATCGTTAACACCATTGCAATCAATTTAATTGCATTGAAAATTTTAATGTATGAGATATCACATTTAATAATCCCAGACGTTTAGGTCATTCGTCAATCTGTTTATCGTGAATGCGAAGACGTTTCCAAATTAATCAAAGCAATAGTGGCTTAACGTTCGAACCCACCGTTAAAATCTAAAAGCCTTATAATCCGTACAACGTACAACCCGAAGAATGGTCTCGGACGTCTACTTGGATAAAATATCAATTAAAAGGATGCTATACACCTAAACTAACCTAGGTAAACTGTAGACATAAATTTAGAGTGCTTAGCCTACAAAAACTTCTGAAACCCTCCCAAATATATCCTAACTTAATCTCATAAGTAAAATAAATTATGTTAATACATGTTAATTGATATTTCTAGTTCCCCATTCTCCCATAGGTCTTTAACCATAATTACGCTTATAAGGTCGACACTGTACTCTCACATATTTGTGTGACGTGTGATATTATAATATATAGGTACTTATGGAGTCCCGAGTGCATCCCGTTTATAGTTTTTACTTTTTTCATCTGAACGTGTTCTCAGTCCATAGCTATGCCTAACTATTTTATACACACCGCCAAAATATATTCATATTTTTGGAAATATCTATTATAATAAATTTAAATTGACACTAAAATAGCAATCTGATTGGTCACAAAACAACAAGAAAACAAAAAGGAAGATACATGCAAGAAAATTTCATGCATCGAAGACAATATAAATCAATTTTAAAATAATAAAATATTAAAACTAGATTATCTCAAAAGAAAGATATTTAAATACCAGTCTATATATTTAAAAAAAAAAAAAATAACTCCTACAAAAGATAATAAAAAAGGATACCGCTTGTATCACTGTAAAAATATATCAATAATATATCAATCTTGCAATATATTAATATATAATATTATACAAAAGTATCAATTTATAACTTATAGGTTAAAACAAAAATGGTTTAAAAAATATAAACATTTAATAAAACAATAGTCATAAGTCATAACTCATTATCATTTACGTTTATTTTTATGGTATACTTTGGAGATAAGCTCTAAACGTGAAATTTCTTCTTGTATGTATTTATTTTTTTGGGTAAGTATAAAGAAGTACGTATTTTTAAATTGTTTTTATTAGTTTGCATTTTGTCAATACTATACCAATTACTATCGCTGATCTATTAACATTTTGTATTGCAAATGTCGATAATCGATATGAACGATGAACCTATAATATGGATATAACCAGTCCATCATAGTTCATACATCGTAAAAATACGCTCTATTCAAATGTTTGTATATTTATTATTTTCAAGTTATGATCATTTTTTACTTATTGAGCTTTTTAACTTTAAAATCGTGAATTTAAATTATATTATCTTATTTTTTTTCAAGTAAAAATGTAAAAAGGTTACTAATGTAGGAGCTTACATTTAATGATGATTCAGGTAAAAAGGTAATTCGTGTAAAAGTTTACATTTGGCCAAAAATATGACCTTTTTTTTCTTGACATGAATTCGAGTGATATCTTATTCCGGATGCACTAAGAACATTAAAAAAGTGTCATTTTGGAACGCACTTGGGCAATTCCCATACCTACGTATTGCCCTTAGTTTAGGTAGTAGATACACATTGTTTAAGTCATAAAAGCTTACAAGTATTAGGTATAAATAGTTATAAAAATATTTAGACACCCATATAAGTAAAAATATCTATTTACATTTAAATTTATCCAGTTATCCATCATCTATATTATATACCTACTACTATATCATAATTTATAATATTAAGTAGGTAGGTATTACTTATCATATAATTATAGAGAGACAATTTAAGAACTGAAAGCCCAAAATGTTTAATTTAAAAAAAAATTTAAAACAAAATGTGTTAACTTTTAATTTAATAGATTAATAATATTATTAGTACATATACTTATACTTAATGTTAAATTCGGTATTTTGTCATGTTAAATAATTATTAGTGATGAGCTGAACCCTGATTTTTTAAATCGAACCGAACTTGAACCCAACTTTAAATTAATTTTTTGAACCCGAACCGAACCGAACTTTCATATTTTTACCAAACCGAACCGAACTTAAATCATTATAAGTCGAACTCGAACTCAACATGTTTTATCATGGATATATTCTATCTACAAATTACATTAACCATAATAACTATTATATTTTAAGTTTTCATATTACTGATAACATATTTTAACTTTTAAGTCTATGTAATTGTATTTACAATAAATTGAAATGATTTCTTATTTTTTTTCTTTTACATAAGTACCCATCTAATAAAAAATAATAAATTATTAATAAGAAAAAAATATAATTTAAAATAGAAATAGTTAGGTATATTTATCATTTATTTTAAAAGTATGTAAACAAATTATAAAATCACAAACTAAACATGTTGTTACAACGATAAACATCGATAACGATTATATACGTTACGTGGAAAAACATTTATAGATAGAGACACAGCGGTACAGAAATATTACCATGGGTGTACCCAAAATAAATTTTTTTCAGCTACTATAAAATCAAAAACAGCATTATTATAAATGTAGGAACGCGGCCTCTATTGTTGATAGAAAGCATATCAATGTTTTGGCTGGCGAGCGGTGGATCTGTAACGGACCAGTGGAAAAATAACATATTGTTATAAATTATAATATATAACGTGTAAAAATAACTTTTAAAGAATTATACAAATATTTGGTCTTTGAATGAGTTTGAACTATCATGGCCAGAAAGTCTGGTTCGACAAATATTTTCAAGTTCGATTTTCGAACAGTAAAAGATGCTTGATAGTTCGGTTCGAATTTTTTTCGTACTGAGTTCGAATTTTGAACTAAACCGAACATTAGGGGTTTGGTTCGAGATTCGAACAGTTTGACCCATCACTAATAATTATTTATATGCATGTAAATATTTTTAATTAACAATAATACTTTATTTGATAATAATTTAGAATTTTAAAATTAAGAAAAATATTCCTTTGTTTTTTTTTTTTTTTTTTTTGTATGTATTAATACTGTTGAATTACATAATAATATTAGTTTTAGACAGATAATTCTCGTAAACATTAGTTCGGCGGCTCTCGGCGTCATCGTTATAATTTAATAGGTATTTCCTATTTTTTTTTTTTCGTAAGTTCTTCTTTGATATTTTTAATACTGATTGAATATCTAATTTAATTAATTGAACGTCAAACATAACTAATAGCTCAATTGAACTTTCACTTAATCATAAAATAAATAAATAATAATAATAGTCGACTATAATGAAACAATATGAATTTCCTATTATAAGATTTTAATAATAATAATAAAAAAAAAAAAAATACTAGCTGTACGCTTTTGATAAATATTAATTTTTATGCCTGTATCTATTTTAATAAAAACATAAAAACTATAAGATTATAATTTTAGGTAGAAACAACTTATTGAAATTTGTAGCCACGATCAATATTTTCCACACAAATGCGTAATTTATGTTATTCTGCTTGGATAGGTAAGTGGTAGGTATATTGGTACACATTGCTAATTAATCGTTAATTTTATTAAATTTTTAAATATTAAGTTTATATCAATAAATTACTAAAATTATAAATCAATAAATAAAAATAATGATGTTTTTTTATAGGTACGCCAACGAAATATTTTTTTCCTGGCTTTTAATGATAATTTTCAACAACTGGTCAAAATAAATCATGTTCACAAAATATTTGTTTATGCTTATTATAATTTTTATATAGATATATATATTATATATTTATTAATTATGTCATTATGCCTGTAAAAATGTACTCATA